TGGCTACCTCTGCCCTGGAAGGGAGCTTTGTGATTGGCTACCTCTGCTCTGGAGCGCTTCGTCGGTGTGGGCACTCTGTGTTCTGTACGTGGACGCCTTTAATCCTTCCAACCCCCAGAGGTGTCCCCAGAGGTGCCGTTTACAGTTGAGGAATCTGAGGCTCCGAGGTGAGTGACTGCTGCCCAGTGGCAGAGCCACGGCTCAAACCTGACCGTGAGCCCGGTGTCGCCTGAGCACTAGGCCTCTCTGGGGCTGGGTAGGTGTGCTCCTCCCGTTACAAAGATGGGGAGATCGAGGGAGAGGAGGCTTAGTCTGCCATGGGTTTCTTTTCCCAGAGGCTCGAGAGACATGATCAGATGGTGCTAAATTTCTCAAACACTTCACCCGGCATCGCTGGCATCTGCTTGGCACCCACCCTGGGGGCTCAACGGTGAGTGGGACAGCTGTGTGGCAGAACTTTTATGTCTCACCTGCTGATCAGATCATCGTCTTAGGAATGAGGGATCCAGTGAGACCTTCTTTCTGAGAGAGAGTTATAGTAAAAGAAAAGGAGCCTCGGGGCGCCTGGGTGGCTCAGTCATTAAGCGTCTGCCTTCGGCTCAGGTCATGATCCCAGGGTCCTGGGATCGAGCCCCGCATCAGGCTCCCTGCTCGGCGGGAGGCCTGCTTCTCCCTCTCCCACTCCCCCCGCTTGTGTTCCTGCTCTCGCTCTCTCTCTCTCTCTGTCAAATAAACAAATAAAATCTTTAAAAAAAAAAAAGAAAGAAAAAGAAAAGGAGCCTCATTCTACAACGGGGTGGGGTGGGGGAGAGTGGGGTGGTTAGGAGGCTTCTCTGAGGGAGTGACATTTAAGCCAGGGTAAAAACGGTGAGCAGGGGGTTCACTAGGGGCAGAGATCAAAGAAGAGCATTTCAAGCAAAAGGGGCAGCACCTGCAAAGGCTCTGTGGCAGAAGGAAGCATGGAACATTCTGGAAACTGAAAAGAAGCCCATGTGGCCAGACAGAAGACAGTGGAAGACAGACAGGAAGCTGGGGGGTGGGCAGGGCCAAGCCTGGGGGTTGTGGGGAAGAATTCTGATCTTTATCTCAAGAGCCAACCAATACCCCCTCTGTCTTGACAGGAAACCCTGCTCACAGAGGGAAGAAGCCCTGCCTCAAAGGCCACAGCACGTGACCAGCCACAGTGGTCCTGGTGTCTGGCTTTCAGACTGAGAGCAAACACCGAGGAAGGGAGCACAGGGGAGGCAGCTCACATGACCACCTTCCTCCTGAAAATCAACACCTGAGCCTTCCCGGCTGTTGGCTTCTATTCCAGAAACCGTCTTCATTTCCAAGTGCTCTGGTTCCCACATCCAGACCATGCACACAGTGGGTCTTTAACACATGGGTGCTTCTTGGCCCTGCAGAGCCCTGCTTGATGAAGGGGAGATGAAAAGCTGAGAGCCGGAGGCCAGCTGAGATGCAGGCAAGCCTGTGGGGAAATGGCTGTGTCACCTGTGAGACAAATATTTTGCCAAGCGCCAGAAAGACCTGTAATATGCAGTGAGCACCCGCCCGAAGTCCAAAACGAAGCCATCTGTTTGGGAAGAGTGCAACCTGGAAACACTGAGGACCCCTAAAGACATACTGTGTCCCCTCCATGTGCCATCACTTTTGTTTTATAAATGGTTAAGAAACTTAGCACCTTTTGATCATGTCTCTTAAGCCCCTGGGAATAGAAACCCCCAGAAGACGAATCCTCCTCTTTATTAATAGTTTCCCCATCTTTGTAATGGGAGGGCACACCCACGCAGGCCTACAGAGGCCTGGTGTCCAGAAGAGCTCCAACCAGAAACCGAGCCAAATGGGCCCAGCTCTTCCTGACACAGGAGGGAACAGTGACGCATCTCAGCACAAAGAACTGTCTGCCGGCTGCTGGGACGGTTTCCGGTAACCAAGGGGGCACTAGGGATTCTCAGGTACTGCCCGAGAGACTGGGGAAGGAAGGCACTGGGCTCTGAGAATGCGCCTGGGCAGCCCACCCTGGCGGGGCAAGAGCAAAGAGAGACCGGAGCTCCTGGACTCTTCATACAGTGCTCGGCGCCCAGGAGGCTGCCTGGCTCTTCCCCAGAAGACCGGGCAGGGGAGGGAGGATGAGCCAAGGCAGCCGGGGGTCACAGGATGCTGGACTGGAGGCCTGGGTTCTGGTCCAGGGGCCATGTGCCTTTGTGTCTGTGCCCAAGGTTCGTTCTCTGTGAACTGGAGGCAGTCTTTATCCCCCGCCCCCATATGTCCCAGTGGGGTGCCTCAACCACAGAGAGGTGTCTGACAGTCACTGTACGAATCCACGTAACAACCATAAGTACCCGCATGGAACAGGCATCCTGTAACAGCGCTAACAAGCTAACAACACACCTCCTGTAACTGACAAGGACCTGCCTGCCATGTGTCTGCACTGCCTTGAACACCTGGCCACTGTGTGGGGGGGACTATTCATATTCTCTTACTTATGAAGACACTGAGGCAGCAGGAGATTAAGTAATCGGCCCACAGTGTGATACTGACAAACAAGAGAGCTCAGATGCAAGTGTCCGATCGCTCTATCTGGTCTTTTTCTGCTACTAAAAATGTAATGCCCCACCAACTCCTGGACCGCGGGATCCTCCTCTTATCACCCTAGAAGGTAGGGTTTATTTTTATCTTCTTTTTACAGTGAGAAAACGGATACTCAGGGAGTTAAGAGACCTGCTTAAGGTCACAGGGCTAGTAAGCGGCAAAGTCTGTGCTATGCTGTCAGGATCTGGAAGAGCAAGGGAAGGGTGGGTGGAAATGAGGAGGTTTAACCAGAAGGGAAGGCTAAGGGGAAGCCAAGGGGTCATGGGCACCAGGACTTAGACCCTTCATGTGCCACTAGAGGGCCCAGGGGCGAATGGGATGGGGGGCGAGAGACTTCCAGGACAGGAGGTAGACAGACCTAAGGCCAACAGACAGATCAATATGGGGAATATAGTTCTATTAGTCCTGTGGAAACACTCAGCAGCCTGTCACATGAGGCAGGAAGGTCCCCAAGGGTAGCTAAGGCTAAGAGACCTAAGTCAGGAATGCCATTCTAGGGGGGCAGAGTCAGCCAGTGGTTAACTGTGTGGGCAATGAAGCCAAATATGCGGATCTGATCCTATGGAGCCGGAGCTCTATGACTTGGAAGCTGTGTGATCTTGGGCAAGTCACCTGACCTCTCGGAACTGCTGTTTGCTCTTCTATAAAGTAGGGACCATCACGCCTATGTCATGGGGTTGTTCTGTGGATCTAGTGGTCCAGGGAGGTGGAGAGGCCTGTGAAACACAAAACACAGTGCCCGCCAGGTAGTCAGCCTTCAGTGCGTGGCCATTCTCATTGCTACATTAGGAAGTCGGCTTCCTGAGTCCTTAACCCTAAGGCTACACTACTCCCTGGACCCTCCTCCCACGGCCTTTTCTCACAAAACTCCATGGGTTTCTTTTCCCAGAGGCTTGAGACACATGATCAAATGGTGCTAAGTTTCTCAAACACTTCACCCGGCATCGCTGGCATCTGCTTGCCACCCCACCCTGGGGGCTCAACGGTGAGCTCAATGGTGAGCAGGGCAGCTGTGGCAGAACTTTTATGTCATGGGAGACACCTCCTGATCAGATCATCGTCTTAGGAATGAGGGATCCAGTGAGACCTTCTTTCTGAGGGAGAGTTATAGTAAAGGAAGAGGAGCCTCATTCTACAACGGGGTGGGGGGGAGAGGGGTGGTTAGGAGGCTTCTCTGAGGGAGTGACATTTAAGCCAGGGTAAAAACAGTGAGCAGGGGGTTCACTGGGGGCAGAGATCAAAGAAGAGCATTTCAAGCAGAAGGGGCAGCACCTGCAAAGGCTCTGTGGCAGAAGGAAGCATGGAACATTCTGGAAACTGAAAAGAAGCCCATGTGGCCGGACAGAAGACAGTGGAAGACAGACAGGAAGCTGGGGGGTGGGCAGGGCCAGGCCTGTCACGATGTCATTTCTCCAGCTCAGGACTTGCCTCACAGATGGGACTCAGGTAGGGACGGCCCTTTGTGTGAAGGGCCTGGGGCAGCTGTTTCTTTCACCTGGCACCACTGACCACTCCCAGCAGGGCTGGGCACAAGCAGGATTCAACCAAATGCCACGGAATAGATGAAACGAGGGAATGCAGGTCCATAGGTGTGCATTCTCCCAGCTCCTGAGGGGCCCTGATCTCAGAACATCCCACTAAGTGCCTACAAACAAGGAGACGACAGCCGCCCTCCCTACGGTGGCCAGATTTAACAACAACAACAAAAATACAGAACGCCCAGTTAGTTTTGAATTTTGGTTAATAAGCCCTTTGTTAGTGTGATCCAAATATTGCCTAGGATATACTTATGCTAGAAAATTATTCACTGTTGATCTGATATTCAAATTCAATGGGATGTATGTTCCCTAGCAACCTTGGCCCCTAGGGCCTCCCAGCACTTACTGGTCTCTGACTGGTAGCAGCTAAGACCTTTGGAAACCTGGGGTCCTGTTTTCTAAGCCAAGGGAAGGTCCCCCCGTTTCACTCTGGGGCAGAGAACACTAGCACAGCTCATACCTGTGGGCACACTGGGCCTGTCAGGCCCATAAAGTTGCTCAAAAAAAAAAAAAAAGCCCCAAACTGACGAAACCCTCCCAGTGGATGGAAACCGTCAAGGCCAAAGTCAGCCCTAACTGGTGGTCAGGAAAGGGTATGGCTTTGAAGTCTGACCCCAGTGGGTTCAAAGCCTAACTCTGCCACTTAATCCCTGTGGGACTTTGGCAAGTTACTTATCTGCCCCGAAGTTTGCTCATCTGTAAGAAAGGCGACAATATCAGCTTTCTCCGAAGTGGCTGTGATCAAATGAACCACCTGGCATACCACAGATGCTCCAGGAATGAAGGCCCCCTGCCCTCTTCATTCCTGCAGCTCTGTCCCTCGCCTGATGCTCTCTTAGCCATGATTCTAGGCAAATCTCTCACCAGAGAAAAGGCAGTGGGCACTGACTCCACACTGCCTGGGACACAGTGAATGTTAATACCAACAAACCTCGGTTGCCCTCCTGTAAACCAAACTGGCTGGAAGCTTCTGGGAGGGAGATGAGATTAAGGGAAATCTGCCTCCGTGAAGTCATAACGCAGACCCCGTCTAATAATCCAAATATGGATTGTGGTGTTTTGTGGTCCTCTGTCTCTCAGATTCCTTCAGTGCTGGACACCACGTGTGCTAAATGCTTTGTCACTGATGAGTAAAAGGGCGTTCCTGGATATAGTTTCAAGGGGGGGACAGCACCGAGACCCCAAATGGCGGGTTTGGGCCAACGTTCACACCTTCCAGCCCAAAGCTAAAGGCCCCAGCCCCTCTGCTGTCAGCGCCGCCCAGAAGCGGAGCCCGCCCGCAGGGCCAGGGGCGCGGAGAAAATGAAGAAGCCACTGGCATCTGGAGGAGCTGAGGACGTGCCACAGGAAATGAAGACACCCCAGGAAGCCGCGCAGTGCTTTCCTAACGGCACAGAGTTGGGGTTTTCTGCTTCTAAGTAACTTCTATTGGAGTTCCTGTTTCCTATGAAATAAGGACGCTGGATTTATAAGCTTTGGAAACCACTGGTCTGGGAATTTCGGGTTTTCTTAACCTGATGAAGCCAACGAAGCGGCGGGGCGGTGCTGGGCGTGCAGATGAAAGGTCTAGCCCCCTCTCTGGGCGACCGGCAGGTGACCGCCGCCGAGACCCCTCGGGCTCTCAGGGCCCGCCCCCACCCCGCGGCTCCCCCCCCCCCCCCCCCTCTCCCGCGGGATTCTGGGCGCGTAGGCCAAAGCGATCCTCAGGTTCCCGGGGCTCGCGGCCGGACGCGCCGAGGCTGGAAAGGGGAACGGACGGCCCTTTCCCTCCCCTACCGCCTCCAGCTCCCCCTCGGTCTTCCCTGCTCTGGCCTTTCCCTGGATCCCTCTTCCCTGTTATGGCCGGTCGGCTCCCCTCCTTCCCACCTGGGGTCCACGCTCTCGCTGTCTCCCTACCACCCCCTCTTGCCCCGAGCTCTCGATCCTCTCGCTTCTGAAATCCTTCTTGAAAAAAGCAAACGCCCCCACACACTCTGGGGCAACCCGCCCCGCCCGCGCCCCACCCTGCCCGTCGCCACCTTCAGGTTCACGGTAGGCAGCTCCATCCCGACCCAGGCGGAGGGCACCTGCGCGGCAGCCGCGGGGGCTCCTGGGCTCCGAACTCGGGAAACAAACTTGCCCAGCCCCGCCCCACTCGCGGCTGCCGCTCGGACTCCGGCGCGGCCCCCGGCCACGTGAGGCGGGTCACGTGACCCCGGCCCGGTTGCCAGGAGACGGCGTCCGGCGGCTTGCTCCCTCCGGGTTCCTAGCTCCCGCCGCCTCCCACGCGGTTCCGGCAGGCTGTTGGAGAATATTGGGATTTGTGCCGCAAAGGACGCAGTATCTTGCCTGGTTAGTATCCCAACAGATGGACCACCTGCAGCCGAAGAACTTGGGGGAACGTCCAGGTGCCAACAGCTGATGTCTCATCCCCAAGGGCACCCTCACTCCTCCCTCCTTCCTCGCTTCTAAGTGGAGACGTTGATGGTACCTACCTCTTAGGATCCTTTTGAGGTTAGATGAACTCATTCATGCTGAGGATGAAAAAATTATTCTGACACTTGCTGG